GCCTATATTATCCTCCTGGGTGTCTTCCTCAATGTTATTAGCTGACTCCCCTCCCCCCCCCTCCAAACTCGTAGCCACATCCGCGTGTGTTGTGGTCACGGCTCTCTGGTGTTGTAGTGTGTTGTTTCTACATTGATTTATATATTGTTAAGAGTAATATAGTGTTTTGTGCTCCCTTTATTTTGATTTTATTGTCATTTTCTCTCTCTCTCTCTCTCTCTCTCTCTCTCAATACCCCATTTCGTTTAAGACATAATAACAACATCTACAACATATCTCGGCCCTAATGCGCAGTTTTACAGTTAGTGGTGACGTATGATGGCCAATAAATGGAATTTTCCAATCTGAATTAACAGTTGTAATAATGAACTCACAAATATACCAACAGCTGACGTAGGAGACATAAATTTTGAGTTCAAACCTTCACTCGGACACTCAATACACTGCATAATGGAACTCACCACCAACTGAAAAACTGACCATTTGGGCCGAGAAATGTTGTAAATGGTATTGTTCACGTAGACCAGAAAACGAATGTATCTGTCTTGCCATCTTCTTAACAGGTAGAGGGACATTAGGGTATTGGGAAGTGACTGTGTCTGTGTGTGCCATAAATGAACAAATATTCCATAATCAACATAGTGTGTGTTTGTGTGTGTACAGTACTACAGCAGGTGTTACTAGTGAGTCTGTGTGTGTGCAACAGGTGTTAATAGTGTGCTTGTGTGTGTACAGCAGGTGTTACTAGTGTGTTTTTGTGTACAGCAGGTGTTACTAGTGTGTTTGTGTGTGTACAGCAGGTGTTACTAGTGTGTTTGTGTGTGTACAGCAGGTGTTACTAGTGTGTTTTTGTGTACAGCAGGTGTTACTAGTGTGCTTGTGTGTGTACAGCAGGTGTTACTAGTGTGTTTTTGTGTACAGCAGGTGTTACTAGTGTGTTTGTGTGTGTACAGCAGGTGTTACTAGTGTGTTTGTGTGTGTACATCAGGTGTTACTAGTGTGTTTGTGTGTGTACATCAGGTGTTACTAGTGTGTTTGTGCGTGTACAGCAGGTGTTACTAGTGTGTTTGTGTGTGTGTACAGTACTACAGCAGGTTTACTAGTGTGTTTTGTGTGTGTGTGCAGTACTCACATCAGGTGTTACTAGTGTGTTTGTGTGTGTGTTACTAGTGTGTTTGTGTGTACATCAGGTGTTACTAGTGTGTTGTGTGTGTACATCAGGTGTTACTAGTGTGTTGTGTGTGTACAGCAGTGTGTACAGCAGTGTGTTTGTGTGTGTGTGCAGTACTACAGCAGGTGTTACTAGTGTGTTTGTGTGTGTACAGCAGGTGTTACTAGTGTGTTTGTGTGTGTACAGCAGGTGTTACTAGTGTGTTTGTGTGTGTGTACAGTACTACAGCAGGTGTTACTAGTGTGTTTGTGTGTGTACATCAGGTGTTACTAGTGTGTGTTGTGTGTGTACAGCAGGTGTTACTAGTGTGTTTGTGTGGGTATGGACATATAAACAAAGGAGTAAGTATTAATTATGTAATCATACGCCGCCAACACCATGCGAGCTGGGGGAGGGGTGAACGGTTTGACAGGAGTTATCACAATGCAGTGTAAGGTAGGAAAAAGTGCTCAAAGGAGGTAATATGAGATAGAGGAGAACATTGAACAGTAATAATATAATACTTAACAAAAGTCTATAAACAGTAGAAGACACATTATATTAGTGGTGGTGTTCAGCGTGTGTTAAGGAGCAGATGCCCGGCCCACCTGTGTACCGTAACACCATCCCCGGCCGCTCAGGTCCTTGGTGGAGGTATGCAGTTGTCCTCCCACTATTTTATGTTGCTTATGGTGTTTTGGGGGTTGCTTATGGTGTTGCTTGTGGTGTTGTGGTGTTGCTTGTGGTGTCGTGGGTGTTGCTTGTGGTGTTGTGGTGTTGTGGGCGTTGCTTGTGGTGTTGTGGGTGTTGCTTGTGGTGTTGTGGTGTTGTTGTGGTGTTGTGGTGTTGCTTGTGGTGTTGGGTGTTGCTTGTGGTGTTGTGGTGTTGTGGGCGTTGCTTGTGGTGTTGTGGGTGTTGCTTGTGGTGTTGTGGTGTTGTGGGTGTTGCTTGTGGTGTTGTGGTGTTGCTTGTGGTGTTGTGGTGTTGTGGGTGTTACTTGTTAGTGTTATCGGTGTTGCTTCCATGAGAAGTGAGTAGACGAGGAGGGTTATGAAGGGTAATGGTGAGTATGAAGGGTGGTGGAGGATTATATGGGGTAGTAGTAGTGGTGATGGTGATGGTGGTGGTAGTGGTAATGGTAGTGGTGGTGGTGGTGGTAGTGGCGATGGTGGTGGTGGTGGTGGTGGTAGTGGTGGTGGGCGGCCAAGGTTGCGACAGGACCAAGAAACTGGTGTGTCCACCTTCCCTCCACTCCTCTTACCCCCTCTCTTACATACCACACCTCACCCACCACACAACTGTTTACCTCCTCAATCACCTCCACACACCTGTCTCTCTTCATAAATCACA